GGGGGATGCTGCTGCTTGGATGTGTAACCTCCCTGTCTCTCTCTCTCCAGATTTGAACCACGGGGCTTCCCATCCAGCGTTCACTTATATTTCTATGACGACCGTTTCCAGGGTTACCTGGTGATGCAGGAAGTGCAGAATTTGGCAACTGGGCAGGCAGAGTCCCTGGAGGTGTGGATGATGCCCCAAGGAGCTCTGAAGCTGGCGGGTCATGGAGGGCAGGCAAACCGCTTACAAAACCTTGAGGTAAATGGGGACAAGTTTCCCTCACAGCGCCCACTTCCCTTCCTGGCTTTCCCACCCTGTTGCCCTTGGTCCCCTTCCTGACCTGCACGCTGCGGGGACAGAGGGACACGGTGCTGCTGTCGCGTCTGAGAACAAACCTTAGTCCAGGAGTTTGGCTTCTGGGTGGGGTGTGGAGCTGGTTGGTGGGGAAAAGGCCTGAAAAGGATCTTTCAGCAGGGAGCTGAAGCTGTGGTGCCCGGTGCCTGCAGCTGGATTAGGCATCACACAGCTGGATTAGGCATCACACAGCTGGATTAGGCATCACACAGCTGGATTAGCGCCGGCGTGGTGCAGGCAGCCAGGAGAGCTGTGGAGCGTGGGGTGTGCGCTGCCTTGGGCTCCAAAGTTTATGCCTTCCCTGTTTTGGGGAGCTGAAATACAAAACCTGAGACGCCAGCGTCTTCCTGCCCAGCGTCCCACTGCTTGTGCCTTCTGTCCCTCCAGGTGGGCACAGAGTGGGACCCCAAGGAAAGACTCTTCCGCAATTTTGGAGGCTTGATGGGGCCTTTTGACGAGCCGGTGGCCATGCAGAAGTGGTCGCGGGGCCCCAACCTGACAGCCACGGTGGTGTGGATCGACCCCACCTACGTCATTGCTGCCTCCTACGACATCTCGGTGGACGCTGAGGCAGAGTTCACCCAGTACAAGCCCCCCCTCAATCGGCCCCTGCGCCCCGGCGTCTGGACCATCCGCCTCCTCCAGTTCTGGGAGCCCCTGGGGGAGAACCAGTTCCTGGTGGTGCCCCAGACCTTCAACCGCAAGCAGCCTCTCAGGAAAGGTGAGGGTGCTCTGGAGTTTGGGGCTGGGTGGGAGGGTCTCCCGGCGGGCAATCCAAGGTGCTTCCCCCCGGTGCTGGCCTCTCTGGGCTGCAGCTGATGGCAAGGCAGGAGCCGTCCTTCCTGCTGGTGTCCCCTTGCCCACCCGAGTCCCCCAAACCAGGCTCCTGGGCAGCTGTTTGCAGGTCAGTTAGACCCATCCCGCAGCAGCGCCCCTCTCCTCGGGCTGGAGGTCAGCTGGGGTTGCAAAGGGGGTGCTGAGCCCCGTCAGGAGGGTGCAGGGATGTGTCTGCGCTGCTGATCCCCTCTCCCTTCTCTCCCTGTCCTGCCCAGACGACAGCACCTGGCTGCACGGCGGGCCCCCGCGCAACGAGTACATGGAGCAGAGCTTCCAGGGCCTGGGGGGGATCCTCAACCTGCCGCGCTCCGAGGAGGCAGAGGAGGACGCGGGGCGGAAGGCGCAGCTGACGGGCCAGGAGCTGGAGGA